CTGAGGTTTGCAGTTGGATAAATAGGAACAACATGACTCAAGATTTCTGCTTTCCTAATCAAAAATCTATCATTATATGAGTTTGGTGCCAAAGTAGTTTGCTAGCGTACACGTGTAGCATGTTTTGACCACACAAATCTTATATTTTGCGTCCTCTGAAACCTGCTGCTGTCACCTGTTTGTCACACGCGTGATGCACGGTGGTTAGTAAACAGCAAATAAATACAAATCAGAAGAGAAATCACATTAGAATATATTTATTCATTTAATGTCAGTTCACAACAGTCATTCGAACAATTATGTTAAAAAAGAAATACACACACTCTAATCCACTTTCACACGGTCAAAACAGGCATTTATTAAAACTTAAAAGGCAAATTTATGACAAAGAAATTAAAAAAAAAGCAAAACAACACCAAGTACAATGTACATAGACAGATATCTAAATTCTAGTTGTTATTCGTCGACTATCTGAAGATGTTTCTGAAGAGATTTCCATCCCGTCTAATGTGTTTAAAGCGTTAGTTTAATAATGTCGGTGTCCCGGTTCATTAGTTAGCTGTCGAGTGGCAGACGCGCTCCAGTCTTCAGTGAGACTGTGATTTGTTGTTGGGAATATGAAGAAGAGAAAGCAGTCCCAGTTCTCCACCATGTGGTCACATGCCAGCACTGCACGCTGAGTCTTCATGTCCATTCATTATTGTTCATTATATGGTCCGGGGCCCCCTTTGAATGTTTGAACACTTACTTTTGAAATCACTACAATCTTGGTAATGCGTCGAGTCTTGACTGATACTACATTGATGTGTTTCCACCTCCTTGCAGCATAAGTTGAGATGAGTGAAGTACCAACTTTGACATTTGCAAGCAAAGCATTTCTGTTCATTTCAGTCTTTCTAGTTGATTTGTGCCGTTTGTCAGAGAGAAGAGTTCAGTCCAGATCCTGGATGAGGCTCTCACTCGCTAGTACGGTGTTTAGATCTTAATCTTCCTCCTGGGATGTTTTCCCAAGTTCATGTTAAGTCGTGACAGCATACGATGGACAAATCATGATGCGTGCCTCCCCACAAACCTGTGACGTGGCTCCCCCTCGCCACCAACTTCCCCCTCTTCATCTGTGAGTGAGCATCTTGCGGCCATCCACCGTCTGAAGCGACAGGCTCCATATCCCTGCAGCTCGGACAGGCAGGTCCATTATCTCCGAGGTGCTACGGATTCAATGTCAGTGTTTCTCTCTGCCTCTCTGGTAGTGGACTGTGTCCCTCTTGTTGAAAGTCAGAACACATGGTTCCTTATCTACTCAGCCTCAGTTTGCACACGTCAAATACCTCAGACTCAGCTGGGGCCAGAGCTCCAACGAACCTGCGGGAGTCTTGCCAGAAATGAACAAGCTCTCCGTTCTGCGCATGAGCATGTACAGATCAGGACTCAAATAAATAGAACAAACACAAGTCAGTCAGTCTGAGCTCACTGTATTTCAGGACCAAGTCAGCCACCAGCAGAGACTAAGATCTGAATACACATAAATCCCACAGGGCTTGTCCGACCTGCGCACCGTACACAACAACCTAGTTTGCTTAAACACATTTAACAGTGTCTTTTAGAGCACATGTTTAAGATGTGAAATGTATAAAAAAATTAGTTGTGCTTAACTCAGCCAAAGTATGTCAGACTCCCCCAAAATTACCGCAGGGTGCTTTGCGTTTGCTTCAATGCAGAACCTGAATGTGTAACTTATTATATTATAAATGTGCGTAATGTATTTAAGAAAGGAATAAAAGCCGAACCAAATTAATATAATATCTGTCTCAATGAAAATGAGAGCAATAATGTGATAACCTTTTGTGCATATGAAATATATTATATTTTATTGCACTTCTTCATGATAAATCTAAAAACTCAACATATATTGTGCGATAAATTGAAAATTGAATGCTTATAATTAGGACTCTAATTCCATCTCCAGCCCATTTCGCATCGTGCTCTAACAGGATCCACATTTCCAACTGTGCCCCGTCTATTTAAATGATGTCATTTAATTGCACCAATTCTAAATGACAAAACACATACGACGGTTGTGGATTTTCTTCCTTTATTGCATTTGAAGTGTTTATATATTACAGAAAAGCAAAGTCCCACGCTCCACAGAATCTCCTCTATGAAAATACCAAGCCCAAGGTAGATAACAAGAATGTGGCAGACCTAGGTTCTGCTATAAATGTAATAAATATGATTTGTGTGTAATAATGTCCGTGAGTATATATACTTCTACATTTTTCTCATTTGGGCAGATGCTTTTAATGCAAAAGGACAACACATAATGATTCACTTTGATATGCAATTTCTTCAGTGTTGTTACATCACATAGTTAGTAGGTTTGTCAGAATACTTTGAATTGAAGTCATCTCTGGTCCATCAACAGTTGGGATATCTTCTTGTACAGGTTTCAACACAACATCGAATTTCCTTTTGGACATTCAAATCCTACAATGGTTAACCTACTGTTCAATAGAAAGCAAAGGGAAATAATCTGCTAAGAGTGATAACGTTTTCTAATTATAAAGCCATAATATATTTGTTTGAAACTATTATAAGATGTTGTCAATAGGTGGTATTTGTTTATTTATTTTCCTCTCTTTCCCACCAGGCAGAAAAGGAGTACTTAGATGGGAGGTTGCTGGGGACTAGGGGGCATCCATCGGTGGGAGAACCGTGAGGTAATGGAGAGTTTGATTTATTGCTTATTGTAAATTTATGTGTTGATCAAATCAGCATCAAAGAGTTTTGTAATCCTGCACGGCTTTCTGTGTGCGAGTACTCCTGGTTGGGATTCACTGCGGTAAACAGGCGCGTTCTCACACAGGTTCTCAGCTTTTCACCTTCTATTTCCAAACTTCATGCGGATGCAAACGCTAAACGTTAAAGTGTCTGCCGTCCCGGAGAAATAGGTCAGTGGCACAAATCAAAGAAACTCTAAATGGCGGAAATGAATGTTTGTCAGTTAGTGAGTCGACACAAGGATGGGTGACGGTGTTTGCCAGCTGAGGGCCAGCCTAGGGCTCAAATGCAGGCAGTGACCCAACCCGGTTAAATGAGAACGACAACAAGGGTACACAGAGAGCAGTGATGGCCCGCTTTGTCCTCCCTCTCTCTGTTCCCTGAATAGCTCTTGCACAAAGGATATCGTTATTCCTCCTCTAATTACCAGATGGAGAGCTGTTTGTCTGCCTCTCGCTCCTCTGCTCTCACCCCCAGAAATAAAGTGCTCTGTGGTGACGACCCTCGGAGGTTATGAAACAGTCTGGTGGACAACAGGGCCTGAGCGAGCCCTCGTTTCCTCCTGCAGCTCATACAGTATGAATCTGAGCTGCGTCTCAGCCGGGACCATTTCATCTGCACTCAATCTGCGTGTTTGTTTGATGGCCAATCTGTCTGGTCCCTTCCTGTCCCTGCATGCTTTTGTTGCCAGAACCAATCATGTCTAAGGCATGTCACCAATTTCACAGTCTTGGTTTTAGGCGGACGTATCTAGGCCACAAGACACTCTCCATCTGCTCCTCTGCGGCCAAAAGCCTTGGGAGGGCACTTGGAGAGAGAGAGAGAGAGAGAGAGAGAGAGAGAGAGAGAGATGCACCAAGCCAGGGATTAGCTTGGTACAGCAGGTCCAAGGGGAGGTGAGATTAAAAGCCATGAGTAATAATACACACATGGCGGAAAAACACACTAGCCGGTCACACTCTTACGTCCATACAACCCCATTCAGACCGTGTGCTTCACAGCTGTCGGCAAACAAATGCGATTCTTTAAAATATTTGCCACCAAATGAGAAGAACTAATAACACGCTTTCAAGGGATTACACTTTTTTTTCCCGGTAGCAGTGCTGGCAAGATTACAGCTCCCAGTGTGCGCACAGATGACACACATGCATCTATTGACACAGGTGGCAAAAAAAATAAATAAATAAAAACCTGCATCCTGAAAAAACAGTCTGACCTGAGCGCTTTGTCTTTATGAAAACAGGAAGAGGGGTTTTGCAAGGCGCAGCAGCTTTGCCGGTGAGTTTGCGGTGTTTTGTTCCACAGAGATGTGCGTTCCCTGTCCTCAGCATATCATACAGTATTAAATCTCAGCTACACCCTCCTCTTACCCTGTCATCTGGAAAAAGCCCTGACCTCAGTGTGTGTATGTGTGTGTGTGTATGTGTGTGTGTGAGTGTGAGTGTGTGTGTGGGGACAGAGAGAGCTGGGGGAGGACAGGTGTGACTCAGCACCACCTGTGAATGATCCTCTACAAATCAAGGGCAACACATCGCTTATGAGGATTTTGCCTTTATATCAGTTTGAGAGATGTATTCATTTTTTCAGTGTTTCCACCAACAGCATTACTTGGACGGATGGAGGGAAGGCTGTCAACAAGGAGGATTTGGTAAACATCTCATTGGGAGATTAACAAGGAGGGAGCCCGGTCTTCTCTGTGTGTGTGCGTGCAAGAGAGAGAGAGAGAGAGAGAGAGAGAGAGAGAGAGAGAGAGAGGGAGGGAGGGAGGGAGGACTTCCCAGCATGGGGCAGAGAGGAGGGGTGAGTTGCCTGGTGGAAAGGACTGAAATGTCCTTCATATAAACCGGTGACAAAGTGGCGAGCAGCGGCCCCCGGGCAGCAGAGATCACAGCCAGCACAGAGAGAGAGAGAGAGAGAGAGAGAGAGAGAGAGAGAGAGAGAGAGAGAGAGAGAGAGAGAGAGAGAGAGGAGGAGACCGGAGCTCCGAGCAGCACCGCCGCCACAGCCGCTGGATCCACAGCAGCAGCACACCGGGGGAGACGCAGGGAAACACAACAGAGGAAACTCATCCGGACGGAGCATCTTTCACTAGAGAGCCCCGCCGACAGGTAACACACACACACACACACACACGCACGCACACACACACGCACGCACACACACACGCGCGTGCGGAGTGACAATCCGAACTGTTTCTGCACGCAGACGAAGCGGCACCTGATTCGACAGGTCGTCGTGAGTAAATCTGACTAGAATGTGACATCGACAAAATTCCAGGTTAATGTGAAGCTGCTCCATTAACAACACTGTAGCACGAGGATCAGCGTGAAGTGCCTACAGGTCACTGTGAAGTCACTCCTCAGATTTTTGGGGGAGGTTGATTTTAACAACTGCGTGATTTGTACCTGTTGAAGTTGCATTTTATGTTTTTAATATGTTGTAGATTATTCAGATTAATGTCGGATCCTCACTTTTAATATGTTTTTTTACAGCCTACAGCCTAAAACTGGTGTTGGTATTTATTTTATTTTCAAATTTAATAGTTTTATTGGTGGAAAATTGCTGAAAAAAACTGCATAAATGACTGAAACTCGTCTGTTTCACTGATTATAGATTAGCGAGTTTGTGGTTATCGTTAAAACTGGAAGTGAGAATAAACCAATGCGCTAAAGTTTTACCTAAATCTCTTATTGTATAAGATCACCGCCTCATCGGAGCTGCCCGAGGCCACGCGGCCGCATGTCCAACAGATTTGTTTTAATTCGTGTTATGTAGGCTACACATCGGCCAGCCGCTTGTCAGATTACACAACTACGCATGTCATCCATCTCAGCACGGTGTCTCAGTCTCACCTAATTAGGCTCACCCTGTCTACTAGGTCACCACACGCAGCGCGCGCGCGCCCGGAGCTCAACAGCCTGCTCTGGATGTCTCTCTCTCTCTCAATCTGTGTAACTCACTGCATCATGACTGTAACTGGGAGGCGCGAAGGCAACTTTGAGTGTGGCTTTTAAATCTGAGGTGTTTGATTTTGTGTAAGGTGTTGAGTTATTTCTTTTAAGGGGGGTAATTTATATTTATTATATTATATTGTATTAGGTTGTGTGTGTGTGTGTGTGTGTGTGTGTGTGTGTGTGTGTGTGTGTGTGTGTGTGTGTGTGTGTGTGTGTTACCTTGTCTGGTGCTGTGTCTGCCGCTGTCCAATGTGCTGAACTCTTTTCCCAGACCTGTTTGTGGCTGTAGAGATGGATGTCACCTCTCGACCTCTCCTATTGGTTTGCGCATATATTGCGGCTGCGCTGATTGGTGGAGCCCGCTCGGAGGGGATGTGTCTTCAAGACGGCAAGCACAAGGCCACGCCCAGCCCGGAGCCACACCTGAGGGACTGCGCCCTGTACGCTGACAGTGAGTGACCGTGTGTTTATCCCGGAACACAGCGTGTTCAGTGGTGTGATGACAAGTCGTGATGAAAATATCAAAACTGTGTCTCCTGACTGACAGCTGGCTGAAAGGGTTTCCTGTCTCCACAGATAGCTGCTGCACAGAAGAAGGCATCCAGGACATCTCCCATGTTCCCTCTGCCAGCAATAAGAATGAACCCTGGGACAAATGTGGGCCTCTGAGCTCCGAGTAAGTCTCACACAGTAGATATCTGACTTTGGATTTCACCTTAATGCAGCTATGATAAATAGTTTTATATATTTTTATATTTAAAAAAATAAAGATCACATATTGCAACCCAGAAATTTAATATATAACTTATATGTCCCTATAAGAGAATATATTTTTTATCATATATATATACATCCTCTGGATATATGAAGCTATAAGTTTGTAACATATATGAAATATTCAAAGTAACATTTGCATTATACATTTATATGATGAATTTTTATATGATAACATGTTGCGGCCATATAGGCCTCTGTTAACAATACAGTAGCCTATATATTTAATTTATATATGCAAGTTTATTAAAACAACATACATCTAAAAAAAAAAAGAGAAGAATGTATATGATTATATACGTTTTTGTTATTAATTTCTCATAAATTTTAAACATGTCTGTCTTCACATTCTGGGGAATTGGTCTCTGTCACTCCAGGAAATAGACGACACCACGATCGGTTGTTACTGATGGATTTATCCGTCTTCTTTACTTCAGACGGCGCCATCATCACCGTCGAACTAATTTGACACGTGATATTGTACTAAATAAACACACACACTCATGTCACAACAAACTACAGAAACGTAAAATACAAACATACACGACGACACGTAGAAAAGTAAATAAACATACCTGGCTGGCTGCACGTGACCAAGAGGGAATGAATGGACCAAAAGTAAATCTTAAAAACGGCTAAATGCTCCACTTTTTTTTTTAACTACTTAAACTTTAACGGAGTACAAAAACTAATATTCTTTCAACTTCTTGTGTTTAGTGAGGGAAAATGTTACAAATATAAAGTGCCCCCTTGAAACACAGGTGCAAACTTAGTTCCTACGTCCTGGATGTAGCCAATACAAATAAAAGAAAATATATCATAAAATAAATCACATAAATAATGTGTGCAAACAAAACCATTTAAAATATTTTTATGGCAGTTAAAGTCTCTACTGTATATAACATCAACATATACTGACAGACTTTGGGATGGATACATATTTATATTTATAACATATGTCTATACATATACATAGCCTACATAAGCATATATATTTGCATGAGGTAGACATATACAGTATGTCAATATATATAACTTTGCTCTCATTTTATGTACATATATTTCATATATGTCAATTGCGTGTACAGTGAAAAGGGGTCGTTCACAGTGACACCTCCCTAACTCCCCTCAGTTATACAGAGCCCTTTTAGCTCATTGTTTTGGTTTTACGCTCGTAGATTTCTCGTTTCATTTCACTCTGATCGCTCTTGTAGCATTAGTGTAGAAACTCCTAAAACCCACCACCCTACCTGCCTAGAAACAACCTCCAGATAAACCAAGTTAGTGATTAAATGGAGAACACGGTGGAGCATTTAGCTGCTAAAGGTCCAGATAGTTGCCAAGTTGGTAGCGACCAAAATCAAAGCTAAAACTAGAGTGAATTACGGTTAGGGTGGGCAGAAAAAATTACTTATGGTGCTAATGTTGCTCTGTATATGCTAAGTGTGTAAACAGGAAGCTGATTGCTGAAAATACTGTCTGTCAGTGTCGTTTTTACTGCCCCCAAGTGGCCAAAGAATCTGTTATTTCTGGTTTAAGTTGGTTCAGTCCTGGGACTTTTCCTCTCAATTGTATGATAATGTTGCACAGGCTAGTCTGTACATGTTTGTTCCACTAATAATAATAATAATAATAACAAAATTTGTACAGAACCTTTCATACAAGAAATGTAGCACAAAGTGCTTTACAACAAAGAAATTACATCCACCAAGTGCTTCACATGAAAATACATTAAATGAACATAAAATGAAAAATGAAAAATGATGAAAAACATTAATGTTAAATGAGATAAAATAATAAATAAAACAAGACATTTAAAAGAACTCCTGAGCAGTGGATAAATGTGGAACAAAGTGCTAGTCAACGGCTAAGGTGAAGAAATAAGTTTTAACGAAGCTTTAACCCAAAATAGAAAATGATCTTGAGATCTTATGTGGGTTTGTGGTACGAGCAATGCAATATGCCAGTGGGTCAATGGGTCCGATGAAGACACTTACCATTATTCAACCAGATAAGTCTTAATTAAAGAACCCTGTGCGCCGGGAAAACTCACCTTCGTGGTAAAATTATGGGGAAGTTGGAAGAAAAACAGAGACAAGACAAAAGGACTACCGGAAGACAAACACAAAACAGGAAGAGACAGTAAAGTTACACAAGCTGGACAGACACACTAAAGACAATGCCAGTATGAACTTCTGTGTTACCTCATTGTCACTTTTATGAGCAGCCATGTTGACTATGAGGAGACGGCCCTCCGGGGGTCAATAGAGGTTTAAATGAAAATGTCACTAAACATCATGTTATGTTATAGTGCTAACTGCTGCCCTCTCTCTCCTCAGGTGTGAAGGTTTCCTGAAGCGTGTGTCATGTTTTTACCGCTGCTCCCCCGATGCCGCTCGATGGCCTCACCCCCATCGCCGCTCGTACATCCAGGCTGTGCCGCTCTGCCACAGCTTCTGTCGTGATTGGTGAGGCTGCCAGACACATTGCCAAGCAAGCCTAAATCAAAATCGGTATCTGTCCCCCTTCACCTATAAGACTGTCAAGAGACAGATTACCAGCCTTTGTAGCAGCAGCAGCACACAGCGCTCTTCATACTGAGATCGAGTGTCCAATACACAGCACAAAACTGTATGACACAGATAAGATCGGGGCTGCATGTATCACAGTCTTTTCTTATATATGTTACCGTTTCTCGCGTGCAAGGGTTCGTAGACGCCCGGGGAGTTCCCACCAATGAGAAACTGATTCATTTTATGTCTGTGTTGTTAAAAAGATTGCTAGAGATGGCTGTACGACACATATGGACATAGCGGTCTTCACATCCCTGAGACAGCGTGTTCGTACTAGCGCTGGTCGCTGTCATGAAAATATATTTAAATGACCAAATATGCTGAAATGTAATTAAATATAAGGTTTTACAACGGGGTGTGTATATTCCAATGAATAGCTCCACATTTTGGGTACAAAATACACAAATAAATACATAAACGGTAAATACTGTTAGCAGCTAGTTAGCTTAGCATACAGAGTGGAACCAGGGGGAAACAGCTAACCTGGCGCGAATTTGTCCACAGGCAACAAAAACATCCAACCAGCTCACTGACTAACATGTTGCGTCTCATCTGTTTAAAAGTGTAAGAATGAGTCATTGAAGAATGAGTCATTTTGTCTGACAACAAGTTTCCAGGATGTTACTGTTCCTGCAGCCAGATTAGCCATTTCCCATTGTTTTTATGCTAAGCTAACAGCTGCTGGTTGTAACTTCCTGTGTATTTATTAAATTAAATGAGTATTACATTACTTTTCTTCAGGTTTGTCGCCTGCAGGATGGACTTGACGTGTGCTCGTAACTGGGCCAGAGACCCCAGAGGACAGAACTGCACTGGAGCCTGTGTCCAGTACCAGCAGGTAGGCTGTGATCTGGCTCGTCTGTGATTGGATGTTTACATAACCTCGGGACCTTGTGGGGTTTTTTTTGGTCAACTCGTTTGTACCTCTGACTTCTCCTCTACAGCCAGTATGAGGTTCACATTTCATTTTCAGCTGCTTTAGCATTAGCAACAATGTGAAAGCGGTGCGTTATGTGAACAGCGCACAGTCACACCTTAGCTACGATGGCGTCAGGTGTCAGGGGTTTTGAATCCCTTTGACCGACGTCACAGCTCGTCATTTGAGGTCGAGACACTGAGTGTGCAGCGGTAGAGTCTGCGTGTCGGCGGCCGGTAAGCGAAGGGGTTAACGGTGCAGGGGCTGAAGCATGAAAAGGTTTGGTCCTGCTTCGGTGGGCAGGGGCCAGCTGGGTGATTTAAAAAGAGACAGAGTGACCGAGGGGCTGATGTGCAGCTGAGGCCAACAGCAAACTAACTGTCACACACCACACGCCACGACGCCGTCTGTCTGTCTGTCTGTCTGTCTGTCTGTCTGTCTGATTCCCCCTTCCTCTCCTTTCCCCTCTCTCTCTCTCTCTCTCTCTCTCACACACACACACACACACACACACACACACCTAGGCAGAGCAAGACACACACCAACAAATGAACACACACAACCCCAGACACCAGACCTATTAAAGCTGTCTGGTGGATATTAGGTGATTACTAGAAATGACAGATTTGCAGTAAGAGAGAAAATGAAACGAGACAATATCAAAGTGCTGATGTGTGTGTGTGTGTGTGTGTGTGTGTCTCTGTGCTTGTGTATTTGTGTGCTTATTCTGGCCCATTTTCATGTAGGACGCCACTAATGGCACAAAATAGGCTCCAATAAATTTAAGTAGCTCCCAAACAGAGTGTTTTAAGCAGCTCCTGAATACAAAGGAATGAGTCACAGCACACAGACGACAAACAAGTGCCGGCCTCTCACAACATTTTTGGAGGTCACAGCAATAAAGCTTCATTTTGTTTTCCTTTCAGCCAGCAGAGATGGGAGATTTCACAGCGCTTAAGTCCACCTCAGGGCTGAGACAGGAAAGCAAAAACTACAAACATACACAGGCAGCGGCTATCTAATACTTCCAAGAGATTTAATACAAAGTTTCACAACCATTTAAAAAAAACTAAAAAATCCTCATCATGCAACCTTTTCAGGATCCTCAGCTGTGTTTCTGCCAGCTCCTGAAAAGTTCAGCTGATAGACAGAAACAAGTGTGTGTGTGTGTGTGTGTGTGTGTGTGTGTGTGTGTGTGTGTGTGTGTGTGTGTGGAATAAATATACAATGATGCAGACTGGATTTGTAAATGCTGACTGCAGTAGATATTGATTTGCATAGAAACAAGCTAATACATTTAAAGGCACACACACACACACACACACACATCCGCCGCATGCAAAAATCCCTCTGGCACTCTGTCTCACTCTCCCTTTATACTCATTGGTAACATTATTTGCCAGCCAAGGTCTGATTTATCTCAGCATTCAACACCGTCTCTGCTCCTGCTTTTGTGGGAATGAGGTTACATCTGCAAAGAGCAGCCGTGTCTGTGCCGGACGCCGACGCCAAAAACACGCATAGAGCGGCATTTGTGGATCAGATGTTAGTAATTTAATGACCAGAGGAAGATGAAGATTGGTCACACGAGGCTGCAGTAACTACCAGTAGTTAAAGGGAAAGAAATGGTTAACAAATTAGCATTTACTTTTCATTTAGAAGTAAATTACACTTTTACATATGCTAAGCTACATATCTCAATCCACATACCCAACACCTACTTTGTAATTACCCTGAAAAGAAAAGGGGGGTGAACTAAAGACGATTGTGTTACAGCCCACATACCCTGCAACCACAGTGTAGTTTCTATGAGATGGGGTAAACAACAGACCACTTTATTTAACAGCCTGCGTAAAAACATTTAAAATATCCTGACCATAGCGCACTACCGCTCCAAAATAAAGGTCATTACCTCGGCTGAAACTCCTCATGCATGCTTTTACTAAAAAAATGATTTTAAAAAAATAGAAAAAATGACCTTTAATTGTCATTAGTTGAATTTATAAACAGCTTGCCACAGCATTGTTTATGCAGTAAGTTGTTAAGTTAATAAAGTGAGTTTGCGAAATGACTGAATGAAATCAGTTTTGATCGTTAGACGACGTGACATTGGATCCTAAAAGGAAACGACTGTTCCCCAGTATTTTAAAAACATACATGTAACTTTTCTACAGCTGCAGTGACAGAAGCACTTCATATATTTCCAGCTCTCCTTAAACACAAAGTTGTTTCCCCTTTATCCCCCTTTTATCTCTTGTCCTCTACCCTTGTACTCACATGTTTGTCCTTGTATAGATACCTGCTAAAGATTTCAGCCCATTTATACACAATTGCAGCTTGTTTAAGATGATCATAAAATCCGGTGAACGCTGTCCTAACCTCAGTAGATCGTTGTAGTAGAGTAGAAGATCGTTGTGATTGCTGTATTCAAACGTAAATATATCTATAATATTCTCAAATCAGGATCATTTTCATCTTGTCACATAAAAACCATTTTCCTAATTCTGATCTTCACCCCCCGGCCAAGAGAATCGTTGCAACAGATAAGCGCCATAAGAAAGAATTGATCCTTCCTTTTCTCTTCTCTGCCTCCCTTTTCACACCAGGTGTAGTGTCGTGTTACTCGGACAGAGGAGGGCGGATTAAATGAGATAAGGATGGGAAGGACAGGCGACTGCCCCGGGAAATTTCTGTATCTCACTTATTCGATCACACCATGTCGTCTAAAGCCACTTGTGCTTGTACTGAATTAGCTTTGGCAGCAAACCATGTCCACCGGGGGAAGGGCACAAATGTTTGTGTGTGTGTGTGTGTGTATTATGGGGTCGTTGCGATAAGACCTAAGCGTCAGACAGAGAGCATATGTAGTGAAGAGGAATAGCAGTCATCCTTTTGTGTCCTTCGAACACGGTAAATATATTACAGCTTTTTCTTCTGCGCACACCCTGTGTGACTCAGTCTTAATCCCCCAGCAGACAGGAGGATGAAAGGAAGCAGACGTCGAGGTGGGGGGGGGGGGGAGTGAGAGAGATATACAAACAGCAAGTGCAGCAATACACAAGAGAGGAGGGGGGGAAAAATGCAGCGGGGAGAGAAAGTGGAAGTTAGGTAGGGGACAAAATGAGCTATAGTAGGAGACAGAGCTGGTGACTTGGCAGCACATCTTAATGACTGGTTATGAGGCAGTCACTGGAGAGAGACTGGGAGCTTAGACACAGAAAAACACAGTGTGTCACTGAAACTCCACTAATTAGCATTCTCAGCTATTTCTAAGCACGTAGGCCTACGCCATGTACAGTTAAACAGCTTAAATGTTGAATTGTGATTTGTTTTTTTTTTTTGCACTGTAATGCAGTATCCCTCCTAATCCGCACATGTGTCTTATTAGAGAGGAGTATAATTTTTCATGCTCCAGAAGCCATAAAGCTAATGTCAGCAGTAATTGGAGTTTTTCCTCAAAGTATAACTTTATAAAGACGGGGCGTCGTAATGAATTTCCTGTCAGATAGCGACACAAAAGGTGCTGGAAGTGACCTTCCCGATTAGTTTAGATCTGTCCGTCTGCTCTGTGAAGCTTGACAGAATCGTCGTTGCACCGTAAAGACGGTGCAGTGATGAAATCTTTCAGATACCACAGAGTGAGCTTTTCAAGGTCATATCTTCTAATTTGCTCTCAAGGTTAGCGGAGACGGGGTGAGGCGAGCGAGGGGCGGGGGGGGGGGGGGAGGCGGACAAAAGCCGCTTGCCGGAGCAGCTGCAGGAGAGGGTGTTTTTCAAGGCCGGTGCTGCCCTGAAAGGCCAAAATCACTTATTTCAATAGATGTTCAAGAGCAAAGAAAGGCCGCACGTTATGAATGTGGCAAACATTGTGCTTTTGTACAAAATAGGAAACTGTATATTTGATCAGCCTTTACCAACCTGAGACCCTTTTCTAGCCGTTGTTATTAGCACTGGTGTGAAGTAACTGACTGCAGGTTCAGGTACATGTATTTCACTTGAGTTTGTATTCACTGCCTCCACATAAGTAAAGAAACTGAGAACTTGTTTCACCACAGGTTAGTTCCCATAATGTCAGACAAGGTGTTTTCAAACAGAGAATATCTCTTCATCTGCCTAAAGATATTTTGTGTGTGTGTGTGTGTGTGTGTGTGCGTGCAGATGTACCAGCACGGCAGGGATCTCTGCGAGAGCCTGTGGGGCGATGCTTTCATGACGGTGGAGGATGAGCCTGAGGATGTGGGAGAGGCCGGAGAGATCGGGGTGGAGGGGGACGGCAGTCGCCCCTGCGGCTGCCTGACCCTGAGCCCATCCGACAAGGACGTGATCGCCGCCCTCAGGGCCCAACAGGACGACCCGGAGGAGCTGGACACCACCAAGACGGGTCTGCCCCAGTACCGGGCCCCTTGCCAGACCAAGCTGCCACTGCAGGCCAGGAGCAGCAGGAAGGGGAACTCCGTGCTGCGTAAACGCTCGGTCATGGTAGACGACGGGGAGGGGAGCGGCAGCGGCTTGTAGAGAGGAGTGATAGATGACAATGAATTTAGAGTTAATTGTCTAGATCCTAATATACAAAATCTATCTCTTGAAATGGAGTTGTAACCTTGCTCCTCTAATTAACCTTACCACACAAACCTAAGCTCTCATTATCATCATCATTACATTTCAGATATAATCTGTATGGTTTTAAGTAGTACTATATCTGGCATAAGATAGACAGACAAGCTTGAAACACTTCCTGATCAATTATTTGATTGAAAACCCGAAACAGCCAGGATTTCAAAAAGAATAGTTACTATAAAGAAAAGTATTTAAGGGCAAAATCCTCAATTCTGCAAGGGCTCTCACTTCAATAACAAGACTTCCTTCCTAATATTGATATTGCATAATGGTTGCACAAATGTTTTATTGCTAGCTAACAAGGTGATTTCTTTTTTTTTTTTTTACCAGGTCAGATATCTTATTTGTTTTGAATAGCTCAGTAAAACACATCACTCAACATTAAGATACGAGGTGTGTGAAGTCTTGTACATGGGAAATGTAAAGTGCTACAGATTTAGCTGCATGAGTCAGATCATGTCGTCATTAACCAGAGGACCGTCCGCGACAGTACTACAAACATAACGTACCTGCACCAGTACTTCACCACCCTGCTTCTTCTTTTCAATCATCTAGGTGACTTTAATCCCTGCGTTAGTCATTTGTCACGTGCAGATCTTACTGTTGTGATGCCGTACCGTGCAGTCTACATGTCATTAAGGTGTATGATGGTGGAGAAAGTCACGCAGAGTCATGATAATAATGAATGTAACTTAGATTTATCTGACAGGGACTACTGGCCTGAACGTGAGGGATCTGGCGCGATAATGACAATGGAGATTTATGCTTAATACCTGAGGGGAGTTTTAATATTCAGAAACAAAATCTGCTCACTAGAGTTAAATCCACAGAGGCTGTATTCAGGCTAGATAAGGTTGCTCTGGTAGTTTGATCACACAACATCAATGTACTGTGGATGTTTCTTTTATAATAATCACGTCATGTATTTCTAGAGTGAGGCACTGTTACATGTAAATGTTTTGTAAAAAAAAAAAGAAAAAAAAAGGGAAACTGATTTGTCTGGTTAATGGTCAGCTTGCTGAAATGGGTGTTCCTGTGCTTTTCTTTACATTCTCAATAAAGACAACATTTCTAAATGTCATCCCGAGTCCGTCACAGTTCTTCAGACAATATTCACAGCCCTGTCAAGTAGTTCCTCATTTAAATGGATTATAAACTGGATATGATTTAACACTTAATTATATAAAATATTGTTCATACAATCAATTTGTTTATGTTTAGTTGGTCAAGTTTTCATTCACGCTGCTACCTGCAGTGGCACAAGCTTAATGTTTTAACCGTTTTTTTTAGCATTTGCATATGTACATGTGATAAGCTTATAACAGAAGAACTGTAAGGTCAAAATGCATTTATGAGACTTAATTTGAAATGTAACATATTTTAGTTTCTGGAAATGTTGAGGAATTGTTTTGGATGTGACCACAACCCAACCTAAATTACATCAGCTCATACTTATTTTTTGTATTTTTCAATCCTTGCCTGTGAAAAAGTCATATTTCATAACTACCAATTGGATATACTTCATACAAGAATAATGAAAGGCTCCAAAATACTTCTACATCTTGTTAAAAAACTAATCTGTGAAGCTTGAGGGCCTCTATAATAGTTTAGTTTGATAGGTCTTTATAGTTAATTTTTTCACTGCTGCCCGTAAACCTCTCTAAAAGGAAAACTGGGAGAAATGTGCTTTAACTCTTTAATATTAAATAATAGAAAACATACTGAAGCATCTTGATGATAAGAAACCTTTTGAAACCATGTAAAACAGAGCTGATCCTTGTGTCTCAGCCTGCAGGCTCTCTGCTGTTTTCACACCTCAGCCTATTGGCCTTCAATCAGAAGTGCCCCCCCCCTTTTGTTCGCTCTGATTGGTCAGGAGAGACGTCAATCTACAAACGACCGTCATTTAAAAAAATCGGGGGAAAAAAACAGGCTTTTTCCGACGGAAAAGATCAGTCATTACGTCTTACCTCCAGTTACGCTCGCTGTCTTCCCTCGGACCCTCCGGAAGTGAAATCTGCTCCAAACTTTTACATGGAGGCCTCCATTTTGTAGCAAGAAAGCTAACAAACAACAGCAGACCCGCTAACAGCCGCAGAAGGAGCCGGTTGGAGGGAAAGAGAGGAGAAGTGAGGGAAGATCAGCGGATACAAATCGCTCCGTCGTCTGATTTGGACTTCTGGCAACGATATTCAAAACCTGGAATACTTTTATGAAGAAACCCTTTTGTTTTTCGTGATTCGTGGACCCTTACTGGACTAAAGGAATGTAAATAATGGAGGAATGGAGCGGGAATTGTAGTTCTACACGTCTAAAAGGTAGGCAAGTCACCACGCCCCACTGGTACATGATGCTGGTGGATATTAATAAATCATATATATGTGCTTATGCTTTGCGAAAAATGAAGTGAATATTTGAATTCTAGCCACTCTTACCGATCTAAGGAGGTACAGCCTGTCTATACTGACAAACCTTTAAGCATCAGAACATATTCAGAACCTTCTAATGGGCCCATTAATGGGCCAGCGGGCTGTATGAAGTTTAACTGTTTATAACTGTTTATTAACCATTTATCCATTTCCTTTTAATTAGCTCTTTCAGTGTTTTTATTTTTCATTTGCCACTTTGAACTATTTCAACTGTTTATTTTAGCTAACTAGTTAAAACACCTGTCCATTACTTTTAGCTAACTAGTGTGTCCATTATTTGAAAGCTAACTGCTAATTTCAATTGCTTGTCCTTTACCTTTATATCTATTTCATCTATTTATCCATACATAAAGTTAGTTTACCAACTTACTTATATTCATTTCTAGCTTAAAATTCATTATTTTTAGGTAACAAATTCAATTGTGTATCCCTTAGGCTACTTTTAGCCGCTATTACTTTTATCTAACCCTCTAAAACCATTTATCCATTATATTTGGCTAATGATTTTAATTTTCAACCTTTTCTCTTTTACTTTTAATTAACTATTTAAACTTCGCTGCCTGCTTTGTAACTACTTTTCATGCACTTAAATGCAACAAGTCGTAATAATTGATGGGCAGCTTTGCTGATTATTGTAAATTTACCTTAGACCAGCATCAGTCCAGTTTATGATCCTACCTGGTTGTTTGTTTGTTTTCCTCCTCACCATAAATATGTGGATATGATTTTTAATTACTTCACAGTTTCTGAGTTGAGTTGAGTTGAGTTCATTAGTTGATCTTTTCATGTACTTTCTGGTAAGAGGAGGCGTAGGCCTTCTGTCCCTGTGCACAGCTCACACCTGGCTTGATACACTGGAAGAATTTAATTGTTGTAGTTAGAAAAGTTTGGATATGAGCTCAAACTTTTGTAACATAAAGAAGATTTCTGATTTTTTTTTTTATTTATCAGGCAGGATGAATTTTGCAAAGGACTAGCTTGTTCCAAAATGCTACTGTACAATGTTTTCTTCAAATACTGAAACCCCTACTGAGCAGAGCTACACCATGCATCAGAAACCTCAAAGCTCTGGAAATAGACGCAACACGCTGCAGATAGCTCCACTTCCTCTGTGTTCTTTCTGCTGTTATGCCACACCACCTCTGCTACAGCACTTATATTTAACTCTCTACCAAATGTGTCTCCACATGTCCATTCTTCATGAACTAAGGAAATCATTTCAGCCTAACAAGATTTTTTTTTTTTTTTAATTTACTTTCTCGTTCACAACTCATTAAATCAAATCAGGCAACACGATACATCACCTCAGGCCAAGCATTGCATGTCGACAGGCTTGCAAACATTTAACTGCAGTGTCGGTGCCTCCAAACATGGCCTCCACCTCTGATTACGGGGGCAGGCAGTATCTTCTCACCACTGTCAGCCCACAATTTACTGATACATCATGACAAGTGTGTTTACCCTCCTGTTCAGACAGCTGTCACTCAGTCTCACCCGTTCCCAACCTTCGCTTTAAGGGCGGAATTCAAATGTTCTTATATTTAAATAAGTATCAGGACAATTTATTTTAAGTCTGATTTTATTATACGGGCCACATTCAAAATGAATGCCTGTTGGGTCTGGGAGGATTTAAGTCTTTCCAGTGATTCAGCTTTGCAGCAACTGAACTGACAGCCAGACTCATCATCTGAATCCAGCAATTAGACCCTCCCGATAAATCAGGACACATGAATAATGTGTAAATTAGCCAACGGTATACAGATCACAATGTGGCATATCTGTCTTTAAAATAACCTCATTAAAAGTGACTAATACATGGACTTAATGCATAAATTATCTTTAGTGTTGGGTTTCTCACTGGAACAGTTTGTGCCCTCTGCAGGTGAAAATCCAGTGAACACAAGCTGTGCATCATGTTGATAATGCCACACACCACTTGACATTTTTCTGTTGAAAGGACAGGCAATGAGGCAGTGTGTGTGTGTGTGTGTCTGTGTGTGTGTCTGTGTGTAGTCGTTTGAACCTACTGCAGCTATTTCTGTAGTGAACTGGTACTTGATGATGTTAGCTAATAACGTGTCCTCTGTGAAAGTCATCATCTCGGCAAATGACAGAGCTGGACAGAGGGGTTCACAAATGAGTGTCATTCTGCGTGCACACACACACGCGCACACACACACACGCACACACACACACACACAAATACACACAGATGAGACGAGGGTTAGGGTCTTTTTAATTTGTTTCAGCATCGTTTCAGAGTTTTTACAAGGCCTTGGGAAATGAGATGAGGATAACTTTGTAATTTGTTGCAGCAAGACCGAAATTTGACCTTCAAAGTCCAAAACACTCTGTTTTTCTCTCCCTCTCCCTTTCACCCACTCACTTATTCTCACACAAACATCTAAATGGCGACTACTGGAGCGTCTTTTGTCGAGTTTCATTGCCACCCTCCGTCTGTGGATTACCCTCACATCAAGGAGGAAACAGTCTTCTGTATGGCCAATGGGACAATGCAGTCGATACAATACTGTACTCACAATTCACTATGGAAAATATAACACGGGACTTTAGGGACTGTCTTAAAATAGCTGAGGTGGGAAGGCAGGTTGAACCTCATGTTCGTTGCAGAAACAGAGGGGTTGTATACGTAGTGGCTGTTGGTGACGTTAGTGGAACCAGTTGTACAGTGATGGTGGTGGAGTGGTCTGGCTCTCAGGGGAAGTCGCCTTTAAACTGTTTGGGCCACCACCACATCTTGACCTCTGCAAGTACAATGGAAATATATATATATATATATATATATATAAAGCTGAATCATGCCACCAAGTATCTGCTCTTTGGTTGATTGAGGACAGGATTCAAGAAAACCTGGTCTGAGAATGTAATCTACTGATATAACTAATAACTAGTAAGAGGAGCTAGATTTCTGTTCTTTTAAAAAGCTGATCTGTAGAATATGACTTTTGGCTGAGCAGAAACTAAGTAATTAAAACAGTTACAATACAGTATTACATTTTTTTTTACAGGGTCATTAGTAATCTGTGTAACCTGTCACATTTCAAAAGTAACTTTCCCAACATGAATACTAAGAAGGCTCACTCAAACTTTGGCACATTTAACTTTAAAAAAAAAAGAAAGACCCTCCACAGGATCCATCATCCATTCATTATCTGTGTGCCGTTATGTTTTAACAGGTCGTTAAGCTGCATGCAAAAAATAATATATCAATATCTGTACAACTCAAGTCACCATTAATAAACAGGGCAAAGCATAAAGACTTAAGGATGGTGTGCCCTGACGTGAACCGTAACATTAACTTTGATAAGTTAATGAAATAATAATCTTAATTCTTTTCATCTTGTTTTTCTTTTTACAATTAATCTGCAGAAAAATTGACAACACTCCCCCTGCTCTCCCAGAAAAGTCAGACCACCCTCTTTTCAGCAAGGTAAGAATATACAGTATAACTACATGTTTTCTGACCACCTCCCTCACTAGCTAAGACTTTTCATACAGTCCCTTACTGAAATAAAGACAGTCTGTGTTGTAATCCTAGAAGCTGTGCTGCAGGCAGGTTTGCAGTTATAAATGTAAATAATGAATGCACTCTCTCCGCTTTAAGGCTGATAATGAGATCTGGTTAAATACATTATCCGATCCCTGCGCAAACCTAAAATCTGCTCAACATCCACATTGTTGCTTGTTGAAGAGGAATGTGATGCTTATTATTCAAGCAATAGGAGAAATATTTTGAACTTTAATCACTCCATATATAACTGCAGTTACATAAAACACAATCATGCATCAGTTGTTCGTCCAAATACAGGGTTACATCTGAAAAATACATAACAATTGTCCTGCAGACCAATGTCAGGTCCAAGGTTTGCACTGGGATGGAAAAAAATGAAGGACTTCATCATACAATACAGAAACTGCAAGGTCTTAACACACATTACCATATACACAATACATCTAAATCTGTCTGCACGGTGAGTCTTATTTTAATAACTAGACGTTTCCAAACATTCCCGTAAGATGTCCCCTGGGCCAAGAGATGCCCCCCCACCACCCCATGTAACTGTACTCACCAAATACCGGTAAAGTGAATGTCTGTGTGGTAGTAAGGGCTGGGAAAGAGCTTGTAAATTGGCCTTCTGTAAACAAAAAGAAAGATTTGTGAAGAATAAACCGTAATTTAGAATTTGTTTATTTCTTCTTAAAGCTGAACCTAAATAATGTGGCCTATTTAATTAACTATGCATTGTACAAAAGCTCTCAGATGGTGTTCTTTATGGAAATTATCAAATGTATCGCTGAAAATAAAAGTGAGGCAAGAAATAATACATATTTTTTAGATAAAAATCTCTTTTAAAAATGATCTTTTAAAAGCAATAATCAATCGCATATCTATCATGATCATAGCAAATAGAGTCTTTACAATAGGACAGCTGTAATTGGTGCTGTTTTAGTTTTATTCCACTAGATGGCGACGTGCGCCTACAGAACTCCCTCAGACTGCACACTGTTACTCTGACTGGTGTCTGTGACCTACTGCTCTGCTGTACTGTTTCTACACCAGGAAACATTATAATGGGACTTTATTTCAACAAATGCCGTTTGAACACCATCACTAAGTTCCCTATATAATCAGTCACAATGTTCAGTGTGTTACAGCTTCGTCTCATGAGGCCCTGATACATTATACTGTTACTGGCAGCACTGTGATGAGTATGTAACTGTATTAAATTAATGGGACAGATGATGAATTAGTCATTATTAAGTCTAATGTGTTAGGAAAAAGATATTATCGTCATAGGAAAATGTTAAAACATCCACTTCATTATAAGCTTCCAGCATCTGTGATATTGTGAAGTGAAAACACATATTACATAACCTGAATATACATAACAAAATGTTGATAATTTCACATTCATCACTGCAGCAAACTCCCCTCAAACTAGGTCTCATGAAGAAAAAGAAACACCCCCTCCCTCCCTCCCAAAGCAAGCTCTCTATTAGCCTCCTGAAACTACTGATGCAACTTGTGATCCGGCTTCTGTAAGAACCTCAGATGGCCGCGGCAAGGTGGGAGGAATATTCATGGTTCTCAAGAAGATAACAGAAGACCGGAGAGAGGGAGAGAATGAGTGAGAGAGCCAGGCCTGTGTGTGTGTGTGTGTTTGTGGGAGGGGAAGGGGGCTCTTGGAGAGGAAAATCAAACCCACCCAGGGCTTTTCATACGTCACTGTTCACATCACAGATGTTCCCACAGACACTCAGTGTGGGTTGTGGGCCGAGGCGTGTGGAGAACCAGTATGGCTAGTTTTCTGGAGTGTGTGAGTGCATTATAATATGTAGGCCTGCTGTGTGCGTAAATGAAGACTTGAACACTGCAGTGATGTTTTAAAATATTCCTTTGAGTAGGAGCCGGACTCGAGAATAGCAGAATACAAAATAGCTTTGTGATACTTGTGAGGGCAGAGGAGATGTTGCTGGTTGTGAGACCTCAAAAATTCATTAATATTCATTAATAATTTATAGAAATTAAAACATTGAGGGCCACAGCAGAGTCTCTGACATCTGTGATAACTGTTTGAAGCCAGACTGATCCTTATCATAAAGGTTATTTGAAACTGTTGAAAGAAGCAAAAACAGACAATGAGCTCAAAAAATGTACATCCCCTGAAATATAGGTTTCTAGATAAAAAATAAGAAAAAAATAACAGAAAGGGAGAAATTGTGTGGGCGCAGCCGGTTTTGTTTCCACCTTCATGGCAGAAATAGGGGAGTTGTTATTGATGGAAATTAAACTATTTAAATACGTGTCAGATGAAAAGAGGTTTAAAAAACCTTCCTCTCCAAAACAGCTTGAGGTGAGAGTGCTGCTCAAACCGCAGCCCTCACTCACTCAGGCTTTTGAAGTGGTTTTCGTGAGTACTGAGAGTTTTTCTCTCTCTCTCTCTCTCTCTCTCTCAGTCCAGACCGGCTGTCTTGTTTACTTGTACGTCAGAGACTGTTTTTACAGGACAGAAACCCCCCTCCAGTTTTCCTGAGACCGGCCTGTGAACAACTTCTCGCTCTGTCACGAAAGCAGAAACTGTTTTCAACACACTTGTTTTCTTTTTAAGTTTCACTTGTTTTATTATTTATTTTTTTTTACCATGGAAGCTCCAAATATTCCCCTGTGTCAGCACAGTGAGCAGCTACAGTGTCCCTGCTGCACCTCCTCACCTCATATTATCATTATAATCACTGTTCTGTGCGTGACCCCTGGCTAATCGCACGAATGCTTAATGACTCATTGACATAATTCAACGCGGGACTTTCCCCCACCTATATCCATCTTTTGAACCCCCCCTCTCCTCCCCTCCCTGGTGCAGCACATATTTGGCCAGTGATGCGTCCCACCAGAATGTTGTCCTTGGCAGCGCGCACATCTCCATCTCTCCGCACACAGATGCTCCTGCGCGCTCCGCACACCCACTCTCGCCTACTGCTCTGCCAAGCGGCATGGCATCTCGAGACGCCCCCGACATTCCTGAAGCCACTGTCACTTCCCCTCGTGTGCACGATCTCTATTATACCGACACCTCAAATATGTCCTAATGACTGACTCGTGAGTGGCACCGACAGGTTGAAGGATGCCACTGCGGTTTTGTGACGAGTCTTAAATATTGCAAGTCGTGTTAAGATGATGTAAAAATGTGTTTTCCACTACTTCCTGTTGTCTTCTAGTAAATACGAACTTTTATCCATCTACCCGATGACACGGTTGAACTTTGCTCCGTTCGCGTGTGTGTATGTATGTGTGTATGTATGTGTGTGTGAGTGTGACGGGTTGGTCTAAAGTTGCACAATAAGAAAAAAGGAAATTCCGCCACCCTCGTGAAGCTCGCAGGCCTTATCGATACGACAGAAGGAGGGATTGAGATGAAACCAGTTTACATTACCTGGGCGGGGGTTCCCAGAAATCCTCCCCTGTGACGCTGTGTTCACCAACATGCCCATATATGGACAAGCCCGTGCGTAATTAGGAAAGGATCTACGTCCGCGTGCTACGCTCTGTGCGTAAAAACACTGAAACCAAAATGTGCCTGTGTAAGGGTTCCTCACCGGGAGCCACAGCGACTGTTATGGTTACAGTATGATAGGAAAGAAAGCTTGTTCGTCCTCCCCACTCCTTCCTGCTGTTTGTGCGTGTGTGTGTGTGTGTGTGTGTGTGTGTGTGTGTGTGTGTGTGTGTGTGTTCTGTCTTAAGTGACACACATTTATAAAACAAACACTCGAGATCATAATTTCCGTTTCATGTGAAGACACTTTACTTAAATACACATAACAAATAAAAAAGACATTGTAAACATTGGACATCATAAGTTTGTCTGGATCAACCGGACAAACAAAAATAATTTACACAAGGAATAAATGTAGCATGTTGCATGACAATATCAGTTGCAAAAGTACAAATAATCATTCCCATTTTCTAGTCTACCATTAGTAAACCCGACTTATGGGCCAGTGGCCGACATTGTGTTTTCTCAGTCTGGATGCTGCCCTGGTTTCTGGGTTTGAATGGTCCTTTGAGCGGTGTCCAGCATCCGGAAGTACCATTTCAATCAGTCATTTCACCCTAAATAGCCTATAGAGTTGTCTACACATAGCCCCCGGCCCTGTGATGCTGCCAGTGCTGACAATGCATCAGCCGGTATTCCAGTGCTGCGCATGCAGAACATGACTCCAGTGTTATTACTTTTCAGTCAGTTAATAGTCTCTGTTGTTTAAAACGCCTCCATCTTGCTTGTAAGCATCAGCTGACAGCCGCTGCTCACATGTGTCAGGACCTTCTGTTTGAGCTGGGCGACCTGGTCCCGGAGCACCGACGCTGTGTTGGAGAGCCCCGCGTTGTCGTTCTTCAAAACTTTCACCTTCTCCTCCAGCCGGGCGATGCGCTCCAGCTTGCGCCTCCGGCATTTGGTGGCCGCTAGTCGGTTCCTCAGCCTCTTGCGCTCCGCCTTGATCCTCTCCTGGGTCTCCAAGTCGATGGGAGACATCGGAGGCGAGCCGTCACTGCTCAGGAGGTCGGGCACCGTTTGAGGCTCCTCTTTCAGAGCGACGAGCCGCTGCGGATGGAGTCCGGAGGCAGGGAGAGAGTGCTGGAACGGGTGCGTGCCGTGCGTCGAGGTCTGCGGGTGGCTCTGCTGGTGTGGCGGCAGGTAGCTGATAGTGGCTGTGGGGTAGCTGGATGCGGAAGAGAGGCTCGTGTTCGGGCAGTAGGCGTTCAGTGTTGTGTAGATAGGAGGCTCCGGCTGCAAGGCGGAGCCGAAGACACTAGAGGCCGCCGCTGAACACGTCGTAACTCCACCGGCACCGATGGACACGTTAGGAGGGGGCATCTGGTTCATCTTGTGCAGCTCGTCCAGGGCTTTTACAAACCCCTCTGCGAACCCCTCCTGCTCATCGGTGATGCCCCGGTTGTAGAAGTACTGACCGGGGGTGGGGGTGGTGATCACACCGTTACTGTTTTGGATGATGAGCCTCTCTAGCTCTGGGGATGCGAGCTTCAGGGACCCCACGTCTTGCTGCCCCCCTTGGTACGGGTCTGTCTCGGCTCTCAGCTGGGATTTCAGGTTGCGATAGGGCTCTGTCAAGTTCAAATTCATATTCTGCTTTAGCAGTTTGTAGTCGTGCATTGCTGCATCTGAATGGCCGTAAGCCGACAGAAAAGAGTCGTCATGATAAAAAGGCTGTTCCATCTTTGTAGACATAAAGTCGTAGGAAAAAGTGAGCTTACCAGCTTCTTATAGAAACACAGTCTCTGGGTTATCAACAAATGTCAGTGTCAGCACAGAGCATGCATCAATTCAGGCACTCGTCGTCTCTCTTAACTGTGCCCCAGAGTCAAAGTGGAATTTTAAAAACAAATCACTCCAAAAATAATAAAGAGTGAAAAGTCCAAGGTCCAACAAGAGCTGTCTTCAGTTCAGAGTCGGCAGCTAAAAGTCTTGTCCAGTGTCAGCTCGCTGCTTCTCTTCTCAGCCCAGTGAAGGAAAAGTTGTGACTGTGAATCCCTGTGAGCTGATGTGTTGGTCTCGGGTGCTTGTTGAGGTGTGTTCAGGCGGGTATGTACGGGCTTTTTTATATAGGCGTGCACACACCGCAGGCCGGTGCCGCGCTGTGATTGGCCGGGCGGCCTCGGAGTCCGTACGACGTCATGTGACGCTAATGCCGGGAAGAGGCGACTGTAAACAAGCCTGTAGGCAAGAGAGCGCAGCGAGGAGGGATCGCAGCGGAGAGCGGTGTCAGAAATAGACGAGCACACTGTTTTTTTATGCGCGTTTAGAGGTTGAATAAGTGGTTGTTGGATAAGCGAAGAGGTGAGATTACTCTGTTAGATTTAAATAAATACGCTTAATGCAGCTGTTCGTGCTCTGTTACACCGTGGAAAAAAAAAAACACTGCGCCATTGCTCGTTTGAGTTAATTCAACGTGTGTTACATCAAACACGGATCTGATCTGTTCATCTGCGACCTGGCGGATGGATTTATTATTTAGCGATTAGAGTCAAGAGTCTGTAGAAGATGTTTACTGTGATCCAAGAATGTAGAGGAAGTCCTCAGGCCTTATATGGGCAGGGTGACGTACCAGTTCCTCTCCGGGAGAACCGGGAAGCCACGCCCACCCCCGGGCCTCATTCCAGCAGCATTCCTGCTCCTGTATAAACCCCATCCATGTGCTAGTTAGTTAGGGACTTTCTGCCTCAGCAGGGAGACGTGAGCTCAGACATCCCAGCTCCAGCCATCTGTGTTCACTGATCAGGACACTTAAACAGACTGTGTCAGAAAATAATCTGTACAACCCTAAATCAGCTTGTCCTTTTCTTTTTCTTTTTCTTTTTCTTTTTCTTTTTTTCATCTTCGATATTGACATTAAAATAAGATTAATTCAGATTACAGGCTGCGTCCGTGTTAACTGTAGTGACAGCAAACTGTGTCAGTGATCAGCTGCAGGACAGACGTCCTACATGATCCTGACGGGGTTTGTGAGGTGCTGCTGATGCTGGGCATGTTGCCCTGAAGTAACGCTGCTTTGATCATGAACGGCAAATAGAGCAAATGCTGTCCAACAAGAACCAAACCCAGTCAATTATCTCAAGCAGGGAGGATCGTGTTCAGTAATTCATCCTTTTGATCTATGAGGCCTGAAAAAAATTATCTTTTCGTTTGGTTTTGCTTTAGAAGCAGAAGAACTGAGGTTCATCCTCTAAGAGCTCAGTGTGCAGAGGAAGGGAAGTGCGATTCCTCTATAGTGCACCTGTTTCAGATGTGGAGAAGGGAACCTTTGTCTCCTGTTTGTAATTCTTCAAACGCCCACACAAACGCAGACAAAATGCCTCCACCGATGTATCCTGTATCCCCGCACAGACAAAACAAGTCAGGTAGGATGCTTTGCCTCGGCAGGAGCTAAATCCTCTGTCTGCACCTGAGGGATGAACCCCCTGATCGTGTTCAGCAGCCGTTTATTCCAGGAACCACATCAATAACAAATCTCTTGTTTACCGATGACAACTGGAGACAAGGCCAGAGCAGAAAACATATTATGACTGAACAATGAAATATGGAAATGGACTCGTCCTCATTAAAAGGAGCAGATCAGTGGTTGCTAAGCATTTTGGTCTGATGAACCTCTACAGCCCTATCGGATGAGTTCAAGTACCAACCATCATCTTCCAAACATGAACAGACTTTAAACTGGATGTTTATTAGTATTAATTATATAAAAGAGCATAGTGTTACAATCTTTTTTTAATATAACTGAATTTCTGTGCTTACTAGGTTGGTTTTGTCAAGTTTGAATTCATGCCACTACCACTGAGGTTGGTAGGCAGATTTAAATAATTTAAGATCAGCCTTCAGCTATTTAAAATAAATATCAAGATGTATTTTTTAATCGAACCACAGTTTCCATTGTTCAGTTAGAATAGAGTTTATTAGTTGAGCATTAAAGGCTTTGAAGCACAGCAAACTAAAGTAAACAAGAACATCATCATATTTAAACAACTCAAAACTAGTGCTGCTTATCTTCTTATCTGATTATTTAACCTTTGCTATTTTCATCCACTAAATGTCAGTTTCTGTGTAGCCAACCTGTCCTGGAGAAAGAGGCAGGATCAAGCTTTCAACATGTTTTCCCGTTGGCAGTGAGCAGTCATGACTTTGCTGTAACAACATGTACACGCTGTGTTTCATAAAAAAAAAAAAAAAAAAAGCATACACAGGAGTATTTGCTCAGACAGACCCTGTTATCATGTTTAGGCCTAAAGGGAAAACTGCTGTTAGGACATAGAGTTACTCAACATCTTTTACAACTGTCACAGGAATTTTCTCCGCTCGGAAAGTTGGCTGAAATCACCACTTTTTTTTAGGGTCTCCATGCCTGATCATAATTAGCTCATCTCAGGTAATTCTCTGGTATTCAGAGCGACTATTTTAATTCTATGCCTTTTTGTCAGTATCCATGGGAATATGTATAAACAGAGGAAAACAACAGTTCCTGGCAGTGTTGTTCCTCCACTTTGCCACCTCCCTTATAAATTCTATTCTGTGTGCAGCTGCCTGTTTCTGCTGCTTGCTCTGCTCTGCTTTGGGTTTAGGTTTTTATTCAGCGTTGCGGATGAGGCTGACCACAGTCCTAGTGACATTTTGGCAAAGCACAACAGTATAGGGTCCAGAGTGGTGAGTGTTTACGGGAACACTCGTGAGGTGGCACCGTGCCATCCTGCCAAATGTTAGTCAAAAACACTCATGTTACCCAACCAGTGGGAGAGACAAACGTGTGAACGAGGCTGTGGCAGATGTACTGTGTGTTGTACATTAATATGTGATATTGTTTTTGTCGGGAACAATCTCTATTAATCACCACATCAGTTGTGCTTTGAATTTTGGGCAGATTCAGCTCTTAATGACATGAGGTGATTAGTTGAACACTTCAGTTATCAGGTTTCATTTTTTGCGAATACAAAAAAAAAAAAAAAAAATGTTGCCGACATCTTAGTCACATCTTGATTAGTCACATCTCTGTTTAGTCTGTTTAGATTTAGTGTTGTTCTGTGAACTCATTTACAGAAATTCCTGAAAATGAGTTCTGCTTTTTTTTTTTCTCTTGCTACAGAAGTCCTTGTTATTGACAGGATCTGTTCTACGATTTGGTCTTGATATATATATATTTTTTTTTTATGCATATTTTTTGGGCAAACTTTCAAAGGGTTCCAGGGCAGGACGAGCTGCCTGGCAACAGACTCAGTTTGAACAGTTGGGATCAAATGGATGAGCGCCAAAACCAGCTGAGTGTTACCTGCTCTTGTTCCTGGGACAGGCATGGCCTGAGGGTGGAAGGAAGCTGTTTACCGTAAGATTAAGCAAAGCGTGCGTGTGTGCGTGCATGTGTTTGTGTGTGTGTGTGTGTGTGTGTGTGTGTGTGTGTGTGTGTGTGTGTGTGTGTGTGTGTGTGTGTGTGTGTGTGTGTGTGTGTGTGTGTGTGTGTGTGTGTGTGTGTGTGTGTGTGTATGTCAATTAGCACGTTTATCTTTTAGGGTGGAGTACTCATGGGTGTAGTTTTTTTTTTGACCACAGTATGAACATCTGCATGAAGAACAAAGATTAATATTTTTTCAGGGGAATTTTTCTTCCTATTCCCATTTACTTAAAAATTACTTTTTTTTTTCTGAGGCCCGTAAAAGATAATAGAGGTTGAACTTTAGGTATTTTGTGCCTTTATTTCTAAAGCAAGTAGGAAATGATTTATGATGTGTGTGACCGAGTGTATTTTAGTGCACAACCAAAAGGTATAAGGCGCCTCTTTCCCCTCCTCACTCACACAATGTCACCAATTCCTACACATGGGAAAAATCCCCTTAATTTCTTCACCCTATGGATTCTGTCTTTTAACAAAGCAGGCTTTCACAATAAGGTGCTTATGGTGGGGATTGAGCTTTCCTCACCTCCTCCTCTCAAACCGTCCCATTGTGCCTCGCCACCTCTGCACAACTCTCCTTTTGTCAGAGACGAGCCAGCAGCCTACTTGTCGTCTGCCTCTCCACAACGCAGGGCCCTTTTGGTTGGCGAGACTGATCCATCTCTGTGACTCAGAGCAGCCGGGGCAGCCGAGGCCAATCAGAGGTCAAAGCCCCGAGCTCCCTCCTCGCATCCTTGCCCTGAGTCTTTCCCCTGACCTTCGCAACTCCTCCAAACACCCACTCAGCAGAAAAGAGTCGCGGTTAGCACAGGGAGAGCGGGTGGGCAAGGGGAGAGAGAAAGACAGGCTCAGTCAGATGAGGTTTGTTTGTGAAGTGCCCTCTTGACAGAGCGGCTGACTCCTTCATTTGGACATAATGGGGCCTCTCATCCATAGCGTTGCTGTTCCCCTTTGTGACTGTGGTCACTTTATTGCCATGTCTATTAATAGAGTGATCCATCATCATTTACTTCATCATCATCTTCATCCTCGTCAACATCACATGATGGCCTGATGGTGTTTTCCTCTGCTCCACTCCGATAATCCCAAACAGCCGATGTTGATGTTGATTTATTAACACTTCAGCTTCAGCCTCAGTCGACCTTTGAGTGCCACTAATTTAAAGGCTGAAGTTCAGGAGCTCTCTAATCAGAGATGCTTGATTGACTCTGAGTCTGACGAGCATCAGTGTGTCTAATATTGCATGACAGCATCAATAGAAGATTTCTGAGGTCATGCAATCTCATTTCATTCTATTAGAGGAACTGAAATGGGGGTCACCGACCCACACCCTAATTGTACCAGCACATACTTTCAAAGGACTGGTAGCATAAATATAGAAGTAATCATGGGAAGCATTTTGTGGGAATAATACCTGAGAATTACATTTCTACTTTGATTATTAGTGTGCCTGATAGGATTGGTTTTTGGCTAATGCTCTGAGGATGGCGTTGTGGTTTGGTTGGTCGGTGGGTCCACCACTTTGGTCCGGACGGAAATGTAACAGTAACTACTGGATAAAATTTGTGTATAGAAATTAATGGATCCAATATCAGTCCTTCTGTCTTTGGTGAGTCCCTGACTTTTCCC